GATATTAGCTTTTTGCCTTTCTAATTCTCCATCTCCATACAAAAAACGTGAGAAAGTTTCGAAATTTAATATATGAATTTCTGTTTTGTATGATATCAATGAACCACATAATATCTTAGTAAAAGAGATAAATTTTGATTTAAACGTTAAAAATATCACTCACTATTAAGATTTTCGAGATGAATGAAGTAAAAAGACTTCAAATAAATGGAAAATACGTGAATAGTTGGAAAGTTTCTTTTTGCAGTTGAAAGAAAACTTGTAATATAATGTAAAAAATATAGTATTCACTGCCGATTTTACGTATTTTTTCTAAAAACTAGTTCATATCATCTGAACTTTACAGTCCTTTTAGGTATGTATGAAAAATGTTTTTTGAATTTGTTTCAAGTTTGAAACGCCAATTTAACCTTTAAGTATCAACAATCTGTCCAATCACCACTTCTGCAACACTCCTCTCGACACGCGTTCCAACAAAGTTGGCTTCTTCAGAAGATGAAGGAGAGGAATATTGTTTTCTTTTCTCTGGTTTTATTCTACGCCAAAAAATTCAATTTGAGAGGCCAAGTACTGTTGACCAGATTCATAACTCACTACCTTTGAGGCCAGTCACTTGTCAGTTAAGTTTTAATCATTATTATCAATTGCAAGTGAATCTTGAGAATTTACCTACTTCGAAATATGTTTTAAAACGTCAAAATGAATCGTTCAGCTGACAGTTTGTTTTTGCTTTCAGTTACCCAATAAGTTTTCAGAACATTTTCAATGATTATAGTATTTTGGATAGCTTGGATAGTATTTTAGATACTTTTGTGCGAGTTCTGCAGATAATGATATTCCCTAATAATCTACCTACATTTTGATAAATTTTTTTTGTCCTGGATTTTGACCTCATATTTAAAAAAGATGCAACTTTTATTTTGTGACAGATAGTTTCAATGTTCAATAGCAGATTGAGATAAAAATATAAATATTAATTTGGACTTATCCAAATTTATTTCTAGAATGACACCTCATAATAGCTGCTGAAATTATTAAATGGGTCATAAACATTATGTAATACATTACATACTTAGATGTGTCTTATATAACATTCGTTCGCCAATGTTCTCTATACGGACTTTCTCTGAGAATATCAATTCTTCTTGTATTTAAAAACGTTTGACCTGAATCCTGACTCATTGAATAACAAGAAATGGACAAATGATTAAGAGATGAAGGTGTTCAGAATTATTAAAGAATACATCATTTGGATGACTTAAATGTTTTTGATTAATGATAAAAAGTTAGTTACAATATATGTGCATTCCCTGTCCGATGTGATAAAAAAATTAAGTATTTCACAGAAATTTTAAACAGTTTTCCAGCAAAGTGGAAACTATGAACAAACAAAAATATTTACTTACCGAAATTTTTTTGATCAATTTGCGCTTTTGATAATGTCTACCGCATTAGTAGACGCTATGTTAACGTTGGTTTGATCCCAACTGTCAGATGTTTGATTTTCACTTTTGTTTGTAACTGTTCAAAATTTTGGACGTTGAATAAGAACAAAACTTTCAGTGGTACAAATTTTTTAATAAATAAAATCAAATGCATTTTATGAGAGTTTTTAGTTTCAGGTATACAGTGTGGTCATTTAAGTGTGCAGCATATTCAAAATACAAATATCAACAAAAGTTGGTGCATACTCGATAATTATATAAGGTACAATGAGAATGTTTGCAAGTTAACCAGCATACAGGGTAGGTCAAAAAATATAAAAATTGTACAGGAGTGAAGAACCCTTATTTCAGAAAACTCAGCGGAATGTTATTGAGAAAAGTTGTTTACAATTAAAAGTTATGCCTGAATATCATTTTGATATTCTATTCTGTGGCCAAGTCCGTTTTTTTGTTCCTTTGTGTTCCGATAATACAAAGAAATAATTTATGGCAAAGAGAAAATGTATTCACTTTTTTTTTAAATTTTGTCTTTATTTTAGATACAATGTCTGATCGGAAGTGGATTACCGACCTGGACGACTACGAATGCACACTTTCTGCAGAAACTCAAACAATCGCTAAGGAGGAGCTTCGCGAGGACGAAAATAGCCGTCAAACTGCGCTGGCCTCCATGCGAGAATGGATTATGCAGAACCCCAAAATAAAAAATGTTCGGATGGGTGCGTCAAATGATTTTCTATTTATATGTTTGATATATAGATTGATTTAAGGCAAAAAACCGTTGTTTCACCAACTTATTCCTCAAATACTCTTTAAAGCAAGATCTTTCCATGATAAAGTAAAGACTCACACGTGCACAAATGATGTCAACAATAAACAGTAACAGAGACTGAAACACCTCAAAATTTTTGGTAAATTTGTTTATATTGTAAATTTAGTGTTCATCACTGACCAAAAGTTTCGATTCACGATGAATTAATTATTTTTTTAGTTTATTTCACAAAAACCCTATCCAAGTGAAAAAGAAGAAGATTAGTCCTGGGTGAATTGAGTTGAACCTCGAAGCGATGAGGGAATGTAGAAAATATAATCAAGAGGATTCTTCCTTCAAGTTTCCACATCATTAAGGAGCTCTTTTCAGATAATTCACTTCATCTGAAATGACCCTTCCGGTACTGACGAGAAGCAAGTACTCCGAAACATCTATCGGTGGTCATCCCGACCAAATGAAATTAATTTCTGCTCCTCTTATATATGAAGTTACTTTCGACGAATCTTCCATAGAGTATATGATGTAATTGACCGATCCTTGATGAAAATCCGTAACGTGTTCAAAAAACACTTAATTGTGAGATTTTCAATAAAAAGTTTTACAAAAACGCCCTCCACAGTCAATTTTCTGGGAAGGTAACACCCATCATTCCCACACTAGAATCCACAATGCCGAAAATTACTTTTCGACTACGTCTAGTCAGATGAATTCTGAAACAGCTCAATNGATTATCTGTTCTGTCTCGTCTGCCTTTGTCATTATACGTGGATCTCCATATTGCTAGTAATCTTTGTGCGTTATCGCTCTTGTTCATAATACTAGGTCGTTTTTCAATTTCAATAGCTTACCTGAATGTTCGATAGTAGAAGTTTTCATTGCTAGCTAGTGTTTTTGTGTTTCGAGCCCCAAAAGCGAAACTCAGCACATGGTAAATCGGGTATAAAGGCAGTCGAGAGAACACATGTAATTGGCGCAACACAGGTAGTTGGACCAACGCAAGTGGTTGGCAGCAACCCATTTACCTGAGATGCTGCCCATAATTCAGCGAGTTGATTTGTTCAATAACCCAGTTGAGCACGATATGGATAATTATTGAAAAGGTAGTATAATATTGATTAGAATCGTATCGGACCAAGTAGGTATTCGAACACATGTTGAGAATTCAATACTTTTCATTGAATTTAAATACAATATAAAGTAGCGTAAATGTTTTTTTTCAGACTCCAACTTCTTGTTGCGATTTTTACGTTTTAAGAAATTCCACATAACTCTCGCTCAAGAAGCTCTGGAGCGGTACGTACTGCTTCGGCAGACATTCGGAGTGGCCTTCAACTGTTTGGATATCACGATTCCCATGATGCAAGACCTGACCAACTTAGGATACATGTTCGCCTGTCCCAAGAGGGATAGCAAAGGTAGAAGAGTTATTGTCACAAGACCAGGTAAGATACGGAAAAAGAATAACATTTTGAAAAATTGCAAACCTAGGTTGTGTTATTAGAAAAAACGAATGTATTTTTATCGAAAACTGATTTTAACTTTTTTCTGTTTTCAATAACCGTGAGAAATAAAAATCTTCGAAGAATAATTCACAGCTGGTACATGCGGATTTATAATATTTCACCAGGTCCACTCTTTTTTTGTATCGCAAACAGAAGATTTCGTAAGCTTTTGGGTCAAAAATACTTGTTAAAACTAATAAGTCTATTTATTTATTTACATAAAATTAATATTGTTATTATTGTTTATTAAAAAATATTTTCATACCAATGATATCCTCTTTTCTCCATGCATGGAGTTGGTACTCTTCTAACTTTTCTGAAATGATAACTTACATCATCCACTACAATCGCAGAGATAGATGAAGAGAGGTCTAACTTTCGCCAAAAATATTCTTCAAACACATGGTAATCGTTAGAATTCTTTGACTGAAACATCAGTAAACCGCCCTCAACGAAACCATCAACACTTCCAATGTGGATAATAATTAGTCGTTTTCCTTTTCCAGAAGGCGACTTCAATCCGGTAGATAAGCTTTCCAAACATGCTTGTCGTGAACTTCTAATGGTTTTGTCTTGCCACATCATAGAAACACATCGAATGTTCAAAATTAATACTACATTATTCACTTTTCAACCGACTCATTTATGTGCATGAATATTACTGAAGTTTTTTCCCAACACCAAACCGTTATTTCAACACCTCGACACGTGTCTCAATCACCAAGTGATCATCTTCAAGAGGAAGATCAAACTAATCATACTTACAAAGTTATCCTTATTTATACCATAGATACCTCTTCTAGGTACCTGCGTCTTATGTGTCTTAAATTAATTTCACAATGAATATTACTGGAGTTTTTTCCCAACACCAAATCGTTATTTTTACACCTTGACACGTGTTTCGATCACCAAGTGATCATCTTCAAGAGGAAGATAAAACTAA